CTACAAAAAAAAACATTAGCTGGGCATGGTGGCGCGTGCCTGTAATCCCAGCTACTCAGGAGGCTGAGGCAGGAGAATTGCCTGAACCCAGGAGGCGGAGGTTGCGGTGAACCGAGATCGCGCCATTGCACTCCAGCCTGGGTAACAAGAGTGAAACTCTGTCTCAAAAAGAAAAAAAAAAGAATTGGCATAACATCCAAGAGGACCAAAATTAATTATTTTTACCCATGTCTGGCTATTCTGTTAGTGGACTGATGACATCTGGATGAGTTTTAAAGACATATGTAATTTAAAAATTAGATATTTATTTTAAACTTTATTTTTTTTGCCTTCATTTTTCAGCAAAATCTCTATTTTGCTGAAACTAGAGATAACAATCAAAACTTTCCCCTATTTCGTTTTCTCCTGGCAGCAAGACCAGTGCAGACAAACATTTTTGAGTGGTTATAGATATATAATTTTTTTTTCTGAGACAGAGTCTTGCTAAAACGCCCAGGCTGGAGTACAGTGGTGTGATCTCAGCTCACTGCAACCTTCGCCCCTGGCTTCAAGTGATTCTCCTGCCTCAGCCTCTTGAATAGCTCGGATTACAGGTGTGCAACACAAAGCCCAGCTGATTTTTGTGTTTTTAGTAGAGACCGGAGTTTCACTATGTTGGCCAGGCTCGTCTCAAACTCCTGACCTCAGGTGATCCACCTGCCTTGGCCTCCCAGAGTGCTGAGATTACAGGCGTGAGCTACCACACCGGACAAATTTTTTTATTAATTTGGAGAAATTTCACTCAGCTGATGCCATATTTATGTTAAAAAATGAACCATGGGCCAGGCTTTGTGGCTCACACCTGTAATCCCAGCACTTTAGGAGGCCGAGGCAAGAAGATCACCTGAGGTCAGGAGTCCAAGACCAGCCTGGCCAACATGGTGAAACACTGGTTGTACTAAAAACACACAAATTAGCCGGGCATGGTGGTAGGTGCCTGTAATCCCAGCTACTCGGGAGGCTGAGGCAGGAGAATCACTTGAACCTGGGAGATGGAGGTTGCAGTGAGCTGAGATCATGCCATTGCACTCCAGTATAGGCGACAAAGCAAGACTCCTTCTCAAAACAAAAACCAAAAATGAACCATGAGTTTTTAAACATTCACACTGAGCTACAACCCATATACAGTAAAGTGCACAAAGCTTAAGTGTATAACTCAATACCTTTGTGCATGTTTATGCCCCTTTCTATTCTGTATCCCACAAAGTGAGCACTATTCTTTTTTTTTTGGAGACAGGGTATCCTGTCACACAGGCTGGAGTGCAGTGGTGCTGTCTGAGCACTGCAACCTCTGCCTCCCAGACTCAAGTCGTCCTCCCACTTCAGCCTCCTGAGTAGCTGGTAGAAAGCCAGCATGCTCAGCTAATTTTTGCATTTTTTGTAGTAATAGCGTTTAGCCATATTGCTAAGGCTCACATCAAACTCCTGGACTCAACTGATCCACCCACCTCAGTCTTTCAAATTGCTAGGATTACAGGTGTTAGCCACTGCACCCAGCCCCAAAGTAAGCACTAATCTTACCACTAGCATCATATAACATAATAAAATGATGCCATTAATTGTTTATTGTAATGCATATAAATAATTATAACAAAAATATTGCAGATATTTTAATTTTACTATACAAATTGCTTTCAGTTATATTGCAGTTTTTAATTTTTTTTACTTTTTTTAAAAAAAAATACTAGGATGTCTGGCTATTTTGCTGAGGCTGGTCTTGAACTCCTGGCCTCAAGCAATCTTCCCACCTTGGCCTTCAAAGTGCTAGGATTACAGGCACAAGGCATCATGCCTGGTCTAAAATCTTTTAAAAACAATTTATTCATAGAATATTTACTAAGTTCTGGCCAGGTGTGGTGGCTCACACCTGTAATCCCAACACTTTGGGAGGCTGAGGCGGGTGGATCACCTGAGGTCAGGAGTTCAAGACCAGCCTGGCCAACATGGTGAAACCCCATCTCTACCCAAAATACAAAAATAGTCTCAGCTATTCAAGGGGCTGAGGTAGGAGAATCGTTTGAACCCGGACAGTGGAGGTTGCTGTGAGCTAAGACCGCATCACTGAACTGTAGCCTGGGCAACAGAGCAAGACTCTGTCTCAAAAAAAAAAAAAATGAAGGAGACTATTTATTAAGTTGTTTCAAAGTTTTTATAATGCTGGGGCATTACAAAGAAAACTAAAATTAAAGTATGATAATTGATTTGTTCAAATATCACTTCAATCTATCATAGCTAGAAAACATGCTCTATGGAAATGTTGAATGGTTATTTGTACATGAATCATCTCATTTATGAAATTTATATAAACTTTTTTGTTTCTTTGCTCTAATTTCTGCATATTTTATTTGATTGTCATCTTGTTCAATATATTTTGTCTTAGAACTATTTTCTCTTCTCTAGCAAGCGGACTCAGAAAAAAAAAAGAACTATTTTCTCTAAAATTTAAAAAATGTTTTCTGGCTGGGTGGCTCACACCTGTAATACTAACATTTTGGGAGGCTGAGGTGGGCTGATCATAAGGTCAGGAGTTCAAGACCAGCCTGGCCAGCATGTGGAAATCCCATCTCTACTAAAAATACAAAAATTAGTTGGGTGTGGTAGCAGGCACTTGTAATCCCAGCTACTCAGGAGGCTGAGGCAGGAGAATCACTTGAACCTGGGAGGCGGAAGTGGCAGTGAGCTGAGACTGCACCACTGTACTCCAACCTGGGTGACAGAGTAAGACTCAATCTCCATAATAATAATAATAATAACAACAACAAATGTTTTCTCCATTGTGAAACTTAGATATGTTAGGTTTTTGCTAATATATCTAATGACATTAGAAATAGTAATACCAAATAACTGTGACTAGCACAACTTCAAAATAAATTTCATTTTCCCAAAAAGCCCACAAATTGCTCCTCTTTTGTTTTGTTTAACTTTTCTAGTGCATTGCACATCTTGTCTAAGTTAAATCCAATTACTTTAACAAAATTTAATAAGCATTTTCCTCATATATTCAAAAATGATGTTGTTTATGCTTTATCAGGGTGTTCTTCAGTGTTTGGGCAGATCAAGAATACTGTAGTTCGGCCAGGCATGGTGTACTGTACTTAGGCCAGGCCACAGTGCTGTAATCCCAGCACTTTGGGAGGCCAAGACAGGCAGATCACTTGAAGTCAGAAGTTCAAGACCAGCCTGGCCTACATAGTGAAACCCCATCTCTACTGCAAATACAAAAATTAGCTAGGCATGTTGGCATGCACCTGTAATCCCTGCTACTCAGGAGGCTGAGGCATGAGAATTGCCTGAACCTGGCAGTGGAAACTGCAGTGAGTCAAGATCGTGCCACTGCACTCCAGTCTCGGTGACAGGGCGAGGCCCTGTCTCAAGGAAAAAAAAAAAGAATATTGTATTGAGGTTGCTAAGGCGCGAGCACGGGCGGGCGTACCTGCGGAACCGCAGCAAGCTGTGGGACATGGACAATAATCTCATCCAGATCAAAACGCAGGTGGAGGCCTCGGAGGAGAGCGCCCTCAACCACCTCCAGAGCCCAGGCGACACGGCCGAGGGTTGGGCTGCCAAGAGGTGCGAGAAGGCAGAGGAGAAGGCCAAGGAGATCGCGAAGATGGCAGAGATGCTGGTGGAGCTGGTCCGGCGGATAGAGAAGAGCGAGTCGTCGTGAGCGCGGTCGGCGGTTTGCAGCCAATGGATTCTGGTCAACTCGTGGAGATCGGCTGACACCCTGGAGAAGCTGAAACCAGAGAGCCTTTTGTTTTCTCTTTTTTCCTCTGTCTACGCTCTGTCTCACTTACCACTACGTTTTCTGCTATGGTCTGTGGTTAATGACCTCAATATGAGTTTTGATTGTTCAGTGTTTTTGTTTGGAAAGTAATTTTGTTTGGAAAATGCTCTCACATGCAGGAATTAGGGCCTAGATTGTAAGCTCTTGCAGCAGTCACATTTGTTCCCGGGCTTTGGTTGTTACTTCTAAATTTTTGAGGTGCTTTGCTCTTTCTTGTGTGACCTGATAGCTCCCTGGAACTTTGGGTCTGTGTGTGGCACCTGAGACTCACAGCTGGAGTTCTCCAGCTCTGGAGGTGCTGAAGGAGCGGCATTCATTCTGGAAGACGGCTCCATGCGGCAACTGCTGAGGAAAGGACCAGACTTTAACCGGGAGTGCAGATGGGCCGACCTGGCTGGGACTCATGATTCTGGAGAAGAGCTGGAGAACAGATAGTATTGTCTATATTTGGAGACTTTAATTTCTGCGTGAGACCAAAGGTGGAGAGATGTATTTTGTTCAAAATTTCAATTTTATGTGGTACACTATCTGATGTAATCTATCCGGTGAGTGTTTGGGCAACCTAACTCAGCTTTATTTGACATGGAACCTAAAATAGAGGATGAGATCTTGATATTCTGTACAAGTTGATATAGTCCTCTGTTAGGGAACTTGGCATAAAATGAAAGATTTGCAAAGGCCCTTGGGCTGGGGGATGAGAGTATGGAACTGTCTGCATTGGACCCTAAACTGGACTGGAACAGGCATCTTCAAGGTTCAGACGTTGTCCAGCTATAAGTTCATTTCAGTAGCAGTTCTAACAAATATTTGAGGTCAAAACACTACCATGTTAAAAAAAAAAAAAAAAAAAACAAAAAAAAAAAAAAAAAAAAAACAAATAAAAAAAAAAAAAAAAAAAAAAAAAAAAAAAAAAAAAAAACAAATAAAAAAAAAAAAAAAAAAAAAAAAAAAAAAAAACTTACCATGTTAATAAAAGTATTCAGTTGCTTGAAAAGACAAAAACAAAACAAAACAAAAAAAAGAATATTGCATTGAGTCTTTGTTCCAGAGAATATTATTTCTACTAGCTGATTAACATCCAACAAATTCGGAGTGACATAAGCGATTTCAAGAATATTTCTGGATTTTTGGCTAAAATTATAGTATGTATACTCTACTTTAGCAAGCCTTTATTGTAAGCTTTATTGTGCTTGGGGTGGAGGATATCACAAAGTTACAGACACACACCACTAGTGCCATATGGTGCATCTAACAGGATTTACTGGTAGAGCACACCAGTTCCATGAACTCTTTTTTTTTTTTTTTTGAGATGGAGTTTCACTCTTATTACCCAGGCTGGAGTGCAATGGCGCGATCTCGGCTCACTGCAACCTCCGTCTCCTGGGTTCCGGCAATTCTCCTGCCTCAGCCTCCTGAGTAGCTGGGATTACAGGCATGCGCCACCATGCCCAGCTAATGTTTTGTATTTTTAGTAGAGATGGGGTTTCACCATATTGACCAGGATGGTCTCAATCTCTTGACCTCGTGATCCACCTGCCTCAGCCTCCCAAAGTGCTGGGATTACAGGCTTGAGCCACCGCGCCCGGCTAAGTTCCATGAACTCTTGGTATTTTATAATACAGGCCTGGCCTAGATGTTCTGTTTTTTTTTTGTTTTGTTTTGTTTTTTGTTTTTGAGATGGAGTCTCGCTCTGTCATGCAGGATGGAGTGTATGTAGTGGCACCATCTCAGCTCACTGCAATCTCTGCCTCCTGGGTTCAAGCAATTCTCCTGGCTCAGCCTCGCCAGTAGCTGGGATTACAGGCGTCATCACCATGCCTAGCTAATTCTGGTAGGTTTAGTAGAGATGGGGATTTCACCATGTTGGCCAGGCCGGTCTCAAACTCCTGACCTCAAGTGATCCACCCATCTGCACCTCCAAAAGTGATGGGATTACAGGTGTAATCTGGCCCTAACCTAGATGTTCTAAATGCTCGTTGGTCAAAGTCCCTGGGGCAGCCTGAGGCAAAAGACTGGACATGCCATAAATAGCAGTCAGGAAGACAGGACCTTGGCTCCTCACTGTTATATATTTATCAATTGAACTAAAAGGGAGTAGAAACAACCTAGTTTCTCCAAGAAAGAAAAAAAAAATCAAGGGTCCAGGAAGAACACCAAGGCTAGAGTGACATACCAAGGGTCTTGGGAACAGCACTGAAGAATGTCTACCTCCTGGGAACATTAGCCTCACCCAGTGGCCTAGCTGTACCTCTGCAGACAGGCTCAGTCCTGATGAGCCAGCTCCCTGCTAAACTACCAAAGGAGGGAAAGAAATGTGCTTCCAGGGGTCATCCAGACTTATTTCTTAGCAGATTTGATTTGAGCAATCTTTTGATCAATGTTTAAAACTGAAAAATGTTTTGTCACTTTGTGATTTAAGCCAAAAGCCTGAACTTTTTTTTTAACAACAGGTATAAAATCAGTGAAGCATTACTTAATTTTCTACTTTTTTGGGTTTTTCTTTGTGGTAGTTCAAATATGTGTGTGTATATAATTATTCAATATGACTTTCTATAACCTAGTTGAAATGAATAATGTAAATATTTAAATTTTTATTTCATATATGATTTCTTTTCTCATTTTATCAACCATTATTATCATTTAGAATTTCCATCCTGGACAGTGATTGTTATTTATCTGTCTTAAATGTTTAGCTTTGATTTTCAAAATAATTTATTCTAAACCTAGAAAAGTCACACTGTTTTCTGTAAACATTCAGGTGCAGTGACTCACGCCTATAATCCCAGCACTCTGAAAGGCCGAGGTAGGCAGATCACGAGGTCAGGAGATTGAGACCTTTCTGGCCAACATGGTGAAACCCCATCTCTTACTAAAAGTACAAAAATTAGATGGGCATGGTGGCACACACCTGTAATTCCAATTACTTGAGAGGCTGAAGCAGAAGAATTGCTTGAACCTGGGAGGCAGAGGTTGCAGTGAGCCAAGATCACACTACTGTACTCCAGCTTGGGAGACAGAGCTAGACTCAGTATCAAAAAATAAATAAATAGATAAATAAATCTAGTTTTTTGAAAATTTGAGTAAACCTTCATATACACCTATATAAAATATATATATATATATAAATACATATAAATACATATTTTATATATAGTACATATGATGCATATTTTATATATATATATATATGTTTTGGGTTTTTTTCCTTAAGACAGCGTCTTGCCCTGTCATCTAGGCTGGAGTGCAGTGATGTGTTCTTGGCTCACTGCAGACTTGACCTCCCTAGCTTAAGGAATTCTAATTGATTGTGCATGTGTGCGTGTGTGTGTGTGTGTGTGTGTGTGTGTGTGTGTGTGTGTACAGGGTCTCACTAGCTTCCCAGTCTGGTCCCAAATTCTTGGGCTCAAGTGATCCTCCTGTCTCAGTCTCTCAAAGTGCTGGAATTACAGGCTTAATATATTTTTATAAAAATAAAAGTATTCACGGTCAGGTGTGGTGGCTCACTCCTGTGATCCCAGCACTTTGGGAGGCCAAGACAGTTGGATCACAAGGTCAGGAGTTCGAGTCCAGCCTGACCAACATGGTGAAATCCCATCTCTACTAAAAATACAAAAATTAGCTAAGCATGGTGGCATGCACCTGTAATCCCAGCTACTCAGAAGGCTAAGGCAGGAGAATTGCTTGAACCTGGGAAGCGGAGGTTGCAGTGAGCTGAGGTCACACCATTGTACTCCAGCCTGGGCGACAGAGCGAGACTCCATCTCAAAAACTAAAACTAAAAATAAAATAATAAAATAAAACTACTCACAATTCTAGCACTGTGTCCATTTGGTTGCCAATGTAAAGAATCAGTTATCCATTTTAAGCCCCTTGTGTCTAAACCACATATATACATATTTTGTAATATGAATTGCTCGTTATTGCAAATGCACCTCAGCTGCTAGGTTTGTGTGTTGCAAATACAATGCTAATTTGTGAGCAACTTGAATTGGAAAACCTAGAGAAGCAAAGAAATAGATGCCCAGTACTACTGAGAAAAGAGGCTTCATTAGGTGAGAATCTAATGTATTTGTAGCATCTGAGAGGAAGGATTTGTCAACTTCTGTAATTAATGTATTTTATCCCTTAAGTGTTTTTTGTTTTTTGCCACTCAAGTGTTTTCTATGCTCCAAAGCAGTGCCCATCTCCAAGGTTGGCAACAATACAACCTAAAGACCTTTACATCATTCTAATTCAGCTCCTAACCCCTTTTTTAAGGATATATAACAGGATATGCAGATGCATTGCCCTGAACCCTGAATAGCATCAGTCACACCAGAGAATATGCAGGGTTACAGGTCAGGCTGTGCCACCCTTAAATATCAAGTCAATGGCCAGGGTGCCCATGTGTACTTTTTTTTTTTTTTTGGAGATGGTACTGTTTCACAATTTGAATTTTTCATTTGTCTAGTTTGATATTGATCTATTGGCTAAACACTTTATAAGCAAGATTATCTAACCAGTAACCACTCATTTGTACTAGCATCTGGTCTATATTTCTATCTTCTTCATCCAGTGGCACATTTGCTTGCCAGAGCACAGACTTCAGCAAACTATTAAGAACTGTTTTCGCGGGGCACAGTGGCTCACACCTGTAATCCCAGCACTTTGGGAGGCCGAGGCAAGCGGATCACAAAGTCAGGAGATCGAGACCATGGTGAAACCCCGTCTCTACTAAAAAATACAAAAATTAGCTGGGTGTGGTGATGCACACCTGTGGTCGCAGCCACTCAGGAGGCTGAGGCAGGAGAATTGCTTGAACCTGGGAGGTGGAGGTTGTAGTGAGCTGAGATTGCACCACTG